ATTTATTTATTTTAATTTGTTTATTAAAATATATTAATGCGTAAACAACTGAAAAGCTTTACTTACTGATAAAAATAATTATCAACAAAAGAATATTATTGGCAGTTTTAACGAAAGCCAAACAAACAAAAATTAATAACAAATATTTTCTTCATACATATGTATTAAGCTTAATTTTAATTAATTTAATTTGTTCATTAATAAGTAATTTTAATTTGTTCAACATTTATATCAATAAGCCAGAAAACAAATTAAACAAACTTTATAATAATGCTCATTTTGAATAATACAATTGTTAAAATTTGTTAATAAAATTTAATCGTTTTACTTATTTATCTTTAACATATTTTAATTAACAATAAGCTGCAAACTAAGTTAAATTTCTTAAGGTAATGTAGTTGCAGAATTCAGTTATTAAATGCTTTTACAAACTTTTTCCTTAGCATATCTATCTAGTTCCTCTATTTAAATCGCCAGAAAGCTACGTCTGAAATCAATGTCACAGGAATTGCGATAGCGTCCAATTTTGCGATTGCTCATTTGCCGAAACCGGCGCATCGCTTCGTGTATTTCCTGCACGCTTATGGGCTTGACCACCTCCATGCCCCGGCCCTGTGTTACCTCTGGACAGACATGCATCATAGACGGACTTCCGCCGGCAGAGGTGACGCGGCTGTAGGGCTCCGTCGTGCGGTTATCTGAGTTCAAGCGGGTCAGGATCGAGTAGTCCACAATAGCCGCAATGGTCTCGTGGGCCAGATAGGCCAAGATGTTCATCGTTGGCGTCGGTATGCGCAGATCGGCGGGTAAATCCAGAAATCTTCTGAACTTATTCTTGATTTTCTCGCCATGACGACAGTAGAACGAAGTTTTTCGCGCTTCATTAAATTCTAGATACTGCTGACCCGTAAGTATTTGGGAAATGCGATCGGCACGAAACAAACGACGCATGCGGTCCTCGTCATGCAGCTCTTGTACCTCAATGGCCAGCTCTTCGTCCTCGTCTGGCTGCTCCAGATCGTCCATAAAGTCCTGCGGCCTGCCAGTACGTATGCTCAGGAAACGCTTTAATATACGCATGTCCTTTAAGTGCTTTCTCATCCGCGCTATCTTCACGGGATGGTTTCGCATCAGGAACTCGAAGTCAGCTTGCGACGGACAGGGATTCTGTTTGCGGCGCATAGCCACCAAAGAGGCTTCATTGAAGATTCCACGTAGCTGCTGCTGCAGTATCTGCTCTACCAGCTTCACGCTGGCAGTTCGTGGCTGATCGCTGTCTCCAAAGCTTCGCATTATGTCCGCAATTTCCGTGAGGAGCGAGACGGGTGCATCATCCGCAATCTGGGCGGCTGCCATATTTACAGTTTGGGTTTGATTTTGATTTTGGTTAGCAGTCGGAGTTGTTACTGTCTGCAGCTGCTGAGCTTGCGGCACGTTGCCGCTTTGCACCAATATCACCTGGCGATGTACGTGCACAGGTTTGTTGTCCTCGAGATTCTGCAACTGAGGTGTGCCGGGTGCAGATGTTGTCGATGCCATAATAGGTGAGGCGACGCCAATCGCTTCACTGGCCGCAATGGACACTGAATTTTGGCGCATAATGCGCTTCGTTTGATAATTCATTATGTTGCCGAAACAATGAATCTAGTTTGTAAGAAATCCTTTTGCGACACAATATTGTGTATAAACATAGTGTAAGAAAAATGAACTACACGAACAATATAAAAATAACCAGTTCAATACCAGGGCTGGCATAGTGAACCAAAGTAAGTGATCGAAGTGAATTTTACGGCAGTAAAATTTTCTTGGCAAGTATTTATTTGCTTTTGAATTTTGTATATTTAAAAAAATTTATTTTATGTATATACCTAATCTGAATGTGCAAGTTTACTGTCGTAGAAATTCATTAACACCATTAATTTGTGACACCAACAAATCATAAAAAAATGACGTGTCATCCACCATGATGAAGTATTTTATAATGAACTACCCAGTGGATTCAGCTATCATTTCATAAAACATAAGTTATCGCCCCAAGCACTTATCATTAATCGATTGTCGCGCACCACCATTTTTGTTTGGACAATGGAGAATAATCACTGAAAATTATTTAAAGAAATAATAGTTATAAAATCAAATTGACCGCCGCAAAAATGTTCAATGGCATGGTGAAGACCATACGTGATAGCATTGTGGGCACATACCCATCCTGTCATGTGAATTCGCGACTGGAAGAGCGTCGTGCTAAGCAGAGAGCGATGAGACAGGAACGAAGGCGGAAGCCAGACAAACCAGACGATTTCGTGACCTATGAGGACTCTGGCAGCGACGAGGAGACGCCACAACAGCAGGACGAGGTCCTCAATACTTCCTACAATTTGTGCGACTATCTGCGAAGCAGAGAGAATGCATTGCGCGATGTGAGACTACCCAAATTTTTTAGCTGCCAGTGACTAATGCAGCTCTTTATTTTTATAGCGTCGCAGCGTCAATGCCGAGTATACCAGTCGCTATGTTCTCACACACGACATGTTGCGCGAGACGCAAATTAGTTTAGGTTACATTAACAAGGTATTCTGCTCCAAATGGCTGAGCAACCGTCAGGTGGTGTTCGGCACCAAGTGCAATAAGCTGCTCGTCTACGATGTCAACATGCGCCGAGTTGACGCTATTCCAACACTTTCCAATAGTCGTGCCAATCATCCAGAGATCCAAGGAGGCCTGCATGCAATAGAGCTGTCGCCCAGTAGATCATTTTTAGCCACAGGTGCACGCAACTCTTCCGACATTGCTGTATATCGCTTGCCAACTCTGGATCCGGTTTGTGTGGGAGAGAACGGGCATCGGGACTTGATAATGGGCATGTGCTGGTTGGATGATCAGTTTCTCGTCTCGGGCTCCAAAGACTCCCGCATGGCCCTCTGGCGCATCAACGAAGATCATATGGACTTTCCAGACGGTGGTGAGGAATCTTGCCCCACGTTTGCCACCATACATCCACTGAGTGTTAAGGAAGTGCGCACCGCGCAGCGAGTGAGACAAATATATATATACATGTAAATATATATAGGGGAATTTTATCTCTTGACATTTATTCGAATTTTCAGATACGCTCGCTGTGCTTCAATAAGGAGTTCAAAGAGATCGCAGCTCTTTCTTTAAATGGGTACATACACATCTTCAATGCAGAGACCTTCAAGCAAACACTTTCGCGCAAGCTCCCCAACTGCCAGGACAATGTGAGCATTGCTTATCATAGCGATGGACTCTACGCAGTCGGCTGTCGCTCCTATACCATATTGCTGGACGCACGAACGCTGCAGACGATCAAGAAGATTACATCCCGATATAGCGGCTGTGGCATACGAGCCACATCCTTTGAAGGCAATTTGTTAACGGTGGGCACCGGCCTGGGAATGTTGCTATTTTACGATATTCGGGCTGGCAAGTATTTGGAGAGTAGCGTAAACGCTTCGCGAACCGTGGCGCTCAAATGCAGTAAAGGAATTGTGGTAAGTATTAGTAAGTAGTTTACATAAAGAACTCAAATTGCATTTCCTTGCATTACTCTTTCAGTATCCGGAAGATGAGATGGATGGGTTTCAGCAGGTCAAATACGTGCCGGCCATTTATACGCACTGCTATGATAGCACACGGATGCGACTATTTGCGGCGGGTGGTCCCCTTCCTGCCACACTAGTGGGAAACTATGCGGGGGTATGGCAATAGCTCCACAGTACTGTCTCTAAACTGATTAGTACGAGTATTTAGGCAATAGTATATTTTGTTTTTAGCCTTGTCGCCGTCGCGGCAGCGATGTGCGAAATGTGATTTTTGATTTCTCTGCTGATTTTAACTTTTTAAAGTTTAGTTATATCAATTGTATAATCATTGTGTTCGATTCATACAATTTATAAGTGTAAAAGTATGCAAAAACGTCGCATAGGTTTAGCCAATTACAGCTCGTATTTATAAAGTCTATAGATTATACATACAATATTCATAATTGATTTATAAGTTTATACATACACACGAATCGCAAGCATTGATTTTATAGTCTGATCTTAATGGTAATAGAATTTGAAATTAAACTATCTACAAATGCAGTTTGCATAACAAAATATACTTACAATTGTTATAATTATTCATCCTCATTTTTGGCATTCAGCATTCGCGCTCACGAAAGTAAACAGAAAAATCACATTTAATTTATAGGTTTTTAAAATACATATGTATGTATATTGCTTATAGAGAACTGTATAGGGCGCTCTATGGCATATGTATATTTATATATTTATAAAGGACAGGACTATATCTGAAGTTCAACGGAATCGATTAGAATGTACATAAATACAATTTTGGTGACAATAATCATATACAAGATTTACACAACGTAGTACACACATACAGATTAACTAGCCAATAACAGCTGCTCCGACTCCCTTAATAAGTAAGTATAATACCAATAAAACCAAATTACCAAAACGACGGCTAATTGTTATTGTTAGTACTGGCCGAATTGCCGCCTCCACTCCACGCACTCAAGAATCCCGTCCAGCTGCGATTGCTACCATCTGTGGAAACTAAGAGAAACTAGAATAAGTAAGCATTCCGGTGATTCACAAATCCCATTACCTTTCTGTCCCTTGGCAACGCAGTTAAGCATCTCCACCTCGCTGCGACTCAAACGGAGAATCGTGTTAAGCACGGGCACCAAGCGTTGTCGCTCATCCGAGTTGGACAACGTGATAAACTGAATGAGAGCAAGTGTGGTTCAAATTGTATATAGCAGATTGGATATATATGAATATAAATAGCAGCTTACCTTTAGGAATACGTTTTTCAGATATTCTGAATTGTGCATGTGCTGTTCCCGCTCTTCGGATCGTTCCTGACGACGAAGTTCCTCTTTCAGCATATCATTCATTTGCGTCAGTTTGGCCAGATCCTGCTCATTCTCAGCCAGTAACGTGGTCAGATGACGGACGCGGCTTTCCTGTATGCTTAAACGCTCTTTGGTGGCGGCAAGTGCCGCTTGCGTTTCACTACCCCCACCTAACTCCAAATCATCGTCCTGCGTGCTGACGCTGCGTCCAAAGTTAGAAATTGTCGTGACCTGATCGCTATTTATGGCATTGAGGGATGTATTCAACAGCTCATCCAGGGGCATAAAGTCGTGCGAGCGACGTGAGGCAGTAGAAATTTTGCGCTGTGCTGCCAGCTGTGCAAGTGTTTCTCCGCTGGTGTCGTGATCCAACAGGAAATCAATTTTGCTCTGCTCTGGGCTGGTGGACTCGAGGCTCGCTATTGCCGGCACAGGCGCTGGTGCGGCTGTCGGATTGGTGGTTATTGCTTTTTCGAGCTGTTCGACCTGTTGCTGCAGCTGCGCAACACGCATCTGATGCACATCATCCATCTGCTCGATCTGCAGGCGATGTTGCACCAGTTGCTGCTGCTGCAGTTGCAGCTGTCGTTGATTCTCCTGCGTAAGGGCCTCATTTTGAGATTTCAGTTCATCGATCACGGCCAGAAGCTCTCGACTGCGCTCTAGCAGATGTGTGTTGTCGCGCTGCAGATCTTCCAGCTGAGATTCGAGCTGACTGATTCGCAGCGTACTCGCATCCCTGCTTTCGCGCAGTTTCTCTTCATTCGCTCGCATTGCGGCCAATTCTGCCTCGAGGTATTGTTCTTTATCTGAGTCCCGGTTCTGCTGTTTCCTCAGCACCGCCTGTGCCTTAAGCTTGTACTCCGAGTACTCCGTGCGAAGCTGCTCATTGGCCCGTTCAGCTTGGTGCAAGGCTGCCTCCAGTTGAGTAAGCGCATCTTGTTGCGCTTCCATCTGTTGAACACTGTTGTTCAGCAGCTCCTGGGAATGTTTGAGCTTGCTCTCGTATTGCTGGGTGCTCTCAGCTAGCTGCAGTCGGATTTCATCCACCTGCAACTTTTGCTGCTCCAGACTCTGCTCAAGCTCCTTTTTGCCAAACAATGCCTCCTGCCTGCCGTGTACAGCGTCCTTCAGTTGTGCCTGCATTCTATCGATTTCCTGCTTCAGTTGCTTGCAATGTGCTGCCTCTCCATCTTGCGCCTGTTCCAATATGCTAATCTCCTGGCGAAGCTGCGTAATAGTGTTCTCCTTACTGACAAGCGTTTCTCTGAGCGCTTCCAATTCTGTGCTCTTGGCCAACAGTTTTGCACTCACTTCAGAGAGCGATTTCTCGGCGGCCTCAATTTCCAGGTTCAACACATTCGAACTCTTTGACTTGTCCTTGGATTTGAGTTTCTGGTTCTCAGCGCGTGCTGCATTCAAGTCCTGCTGCAGCTGCACCTGAGCCGATTTAATGGCCTCCACTTCAGCCTCCAGTTTGGCTGCTCCAGCTTGCTCCATGTTTTGGATTTGTTGCGTTTGCTCTTGCAGCTTCTTTTTTAACTTCATGGCCAGCGAACGCAGCTTATTGTATTTATCCTCGTAGCCATCGTCGAGTTCGCGCAAGCGATTCAATTCCTCGGCTCGTGAGATTGTAGACGTGGATAGTACATCGCTCTGGGCATCCCCATTCATATGCTCATGCTGCTCCATTTCGTCAATTCTGCTCTGCAGTTGCTCCAGCTGCTTTGATTTTTCAGTTAGATTTTCTGTTAGAGTTTGCAGCTCCTTGCGACACTTGTCATGTTGCTCCTGCATGCGTGAGATGACATCTCCTCGCGCCTTTAGCGCCTCGTTCAGCTCTCGCATCTCGGCCAGCAACTCAGTATGTTCGTTTTCCTTCATCTGGTATCGCGTCTGCAAGTCTTCATTCTGCTGTCGCAGCTCCACATAGTTTGTTTCCAGTTCCGCATTCTCCCGCTCATGTTGCTGCTTCATTGCATTCATTGCGCAGTCCTGTTGGCTGCGCTCCTCTTGCAATACTTGAGACAGGCGTTGCATTTGATTTAGTTTTTCAGTGAAGTATACTGAATTAAACGTGCTGACAGGTTGCACTGATTGCTGCGAGATCTGCTGTCCCTTGATGATGCTCGTCAGCTGTTCCACGCGACTCAACTTGGAGAGCACACGATCAATGTCTAGTGTATTCTGTGGAAGCTGATTTTGTTGCTGCTTGTGTTGCTTCTGCGGTTGCTGTTGCTCCTTTATTATCTTGGATAAACGCTCCATTTCATAAACTTTCTGCAGCAACCGTTTATTATTGCCCGAAACCTGGTTGATTGGTTGAGCCGCTTGCAATCGTTCCTTTAGCTGTGTATTCTCCTGCTGCAGGGCGTTCATTTTGGCACACAGGAGCTGCGATGCCTTAACAATCTCTTGTTGCCACTTGGATACTGATGCAGCATATTCGTGCTGTGTTTCGAGCAGAACGCACTTACATTCCTTCAGGTTCTTTAACTTGCGGTGCACGTCAATAAACCTATCTTTAAGTGAATTGAACTTCTTACGCTGCTCCGAGTTTATTTGCTTGACCGAATCGTACTTTTGTTTCAGTTCCTCAAGTTCAGTGGCCCGCTGATTTGCCTCCTCTGTTGCACTTTCGATCTGTTGTCTTAGATTGACATTTTGCGCCTCAGCCTCCTTCATTTTAACAATATCCAGTTCGAGCAGCTCAAGATTCTTGCGCTGTTCGGCGCCCAGTGCATTAACTTGTTGCATGGCCTGCTCCATGCGCTCGATGTCCGCTAACAGACCATCATTTTCATCGCTCAAACGCCCCAGCTGACGTTTCAGGCTTTCATTTTCGATTTCATATTGTTGTAATCGGTCGGCATCTTCTTTGGTCTTGCGCTGTAGGGAGCTCAGTTGCTCAGTTAAAATGAGGTTCTTGTCGGTGAAATCCTGCAGCATCTCTTGCATTGCTGGGAGACTGCTCTGCTTCGCAGCTGCCTTGGCTAATGCGTCCTTCAGCTGCCGATTTTCTTCAACGAGCTCTACTCATGAGATAAGCAAATAATTAATAACATGTACAACGTGTACCATGAGTTATTTACCATCTTTGGCTTGCTTTGCTTTCTTGGCAATTCCAAGTAGTCCCTTGTATTTGCCGATGAGTTCATCTTTACTTAGAGCTTCGATTGGATTCTTCTGCAAACATACAAAAATACATTCATGACCGCACATACATACATAAGTATTAATGTATGTAGTTGAAACGTCATTGTTTTGCTTTCGTTGCTCATTCGTTGTAGATTAGAATTTGGGACATGTACATACCTGGGTCTCCCTACTTGATGTCTCCATATTCAATGTTGCCTTTCTGCTGTCTTAAAGTCTAACAAACAGACTTTCATGTGTTGTCTTTATCTGTTTTCTACCGTCTTAAATAATTGTACCAAATAAAACTTAAACAACTTGTCAGATGTGCAAATAAACGATTAGCGATAAACTCTTTACCTATCGCAATTAGCGATTGCTAAGATGAGCTGTTTTTTCAAACGATCATCGCTAAGTATTTGTGATATTTTAAAGTAGACACATCATCATCTATTCCAACTATATGCTAAGGTCTTATTCATATTTATAAGATAGACATAATTAAATATTAAATATATGATTTCAGTTTTAAAAATACCCATCACTAATCGGTGAAACATGAAATCAGCTGACTGCACAGCAGTCAAAAATTGTAAGCTTTATGGATTGAATATAGAGTCATTAACATGATATTTTGATGCTTTTATTTCCTAATGGAAATACTTTTAAATTAATACTTAAAAAAAAAAAAACAGTTTATTTATTTATTATCACAGCTACACTTCTTTGATGATATACTAAGAAATCAACGATACATCGGAGGGCTCACAGTGACCATCGTTATTCTGCCCATCCCTAACGATTTGTTATTTTGGTATTTTTAGAAGTATTTTGTCGCAAGTGGACTAGAGTTTGGTTGTTGCTGCTGGCAGATGAGCCTGGGACCATAAATATGGATCTGAGCGATAATCAACTGGAGGATCAATCCGTCATATACAAGCACGAGCAGCTGTTTAGCGAGAGTTTTCCGCTGTTCAAGGAGATACGAAGACTGGGAAAGCTGTGTGATGTCACACTGAAGGTCGGTTGCCAATCCCCCTATCTTTGCATTATCACAATCTAGTGCCAGTTTCTAAAATTAAACACATTTGTACATATGCATGTGCAATCTTTGCGTGCAGGTTGAAGATCAGACATTCTCGGCCCATCGAGTCGTTCTAGCTGCCACAGTACCATATTTTTATGCAATGTTCACGAACAACATGGCGGAGAGTCGTATCCGGGAAATTACCATGAAGGAGATTGAGCCCAGCGCTCTGGAAAGTCTGATCAATTATGTGTACAGTGGCCAGGTTCGAATCGATAACCAAAATGTTCAAAGCCTCATGGTTGGCGCTTCGTTTCTGCAACTGTCCAATGTGCGCGATGCCTGTGCTTCTTTTCTCATCTCCCGCTTCCATCCTCATAATGTGCTGGGCATTCGCACCTTTGGTGACTCGATGATCTGCCGGCAGTTGACTGATGCTGCAGATAAGTACATTGATCAAAACTTTGCAAAGGTTTCCCAATCCGAGGAGTTCCTGGCACTTGACTGCGAACAGCTATTGGAGCTGATGCGACGGGATGAATTAAATGTGCTCAATGAGGAGGTGATATTTGAAGCTTGCATGCGTTGGGTTAAGTTCGCCGAAGAGAAACGCTCTGAGCTCTTTCCGCAAGTACTGGCGGCAGTGCGCCTGCCTCTATTGTCACCTCAATTTCTGGCGGACCGTGTGGCACGGGAGGAACTCATCCGCTCATCACACCAATGCCGTGACTTGCTAGACGAGGCAAAAGACTTTCATTTGATGCCCGAGCGCCGAGGCTTGCTTCAGAGCTTTCGTACTCGCCAACGGTGCGGTGAGTTCTTTACGGGCCAAATTTACGCCGTAGGTGGATTAGCCAGCACCGGTGAATCCGTCAGCACTGTGGAAATCTACGATCCCATTAAAAAGAAATGGAAAATGGGTGAACAAATGTCCATGATGCGGTAAGTTAGAAGTTGTATAGATCCATTGCACATATTCTTTGATATATTTGATTGCATTCGACAGCTCCAGAGTGGGTGTGGCTGTCCTAGACGGCAAGTTGTACGCATTCGGTGGCTTCAATGGCACCGAACGGCTATCGACAGTGGAAGTCTATGATCCTCGAAAAAACAAATGGTCTCAGGGCTGTGCAATGTTGTGCAAGCGCAGCGCCGTAGGTGTCGCCGCTTTGGATGATTGCATTTACGTTTGTGGTGGATACGATGGGGTTACGTCGCTCAACACTGTCGAAGTTTACTACCCCAAAAGTAATACGTGGAAAACGGTGTGTGGCATTGTACCAATGTATGTAAATAATACTCATGTGTGATATGCTTTCAGGTGGCCCAAATGATGAAATATCGTTCAGCGGGTGGAGTAACGCAATTGAATGGTTATATCTATGCGTTGGGAGGCCACGATGGATTGTCAATTTTTGATTCTGTAGAGCGTTATGATCAGAACGAGGATGTCTGGATCAAGATGGCACCGATGCTCAATCGACGATGTCGCTTGGGAGTGGCCACACTCAATGGAAAAATATATGTCTGTGGCGGGTACTGTGGTAACTCATTTCTGCGTTCCGTGGAGTGCTATGATCCCCTGACAGACACTTGGAAACTGGTGACGCCCATGAACTGTAAAAGATCTCGCGTAGCGTTGGCTGCCAACATGGGCAAACTGTGGGCCATTGGTGGCTATGACGGTGAAACGAATCTTTCCACCGTTGAAGTCTACGACCCGGAGACCGACAAATGGACCTTCATGCCCCCAATGTGCGCACACAGCGGTGGTGTTGGTGCTGGAGTAATCCGCATTGATTAGCTTGCCTAGCCAAAAATTCTTACATAGTTATTTGATTAGTTAATTTATGCAATTATATACTATTATAGTCTATTATATATCAGTGTGCAAGTAAGCTTTAGTGGTGCTTCAGCCACCGCTTTACTTTTAAAATTGTTTAATGCGTCTTTCAGGATAGCTAAGTGAATTACATTCCAGTTGTATATGTTTGTTAGTGTGTAAATTATTCCTAGCCCACAATACTCATTAAATTGTAAACATTGAACATCTCGGCGATACAATTCAATATATATCGAGCCCTTTGCGTCATTGCTTTTGAGTGTAATCCAATTTTCGTTGTTGTTGCTGTAACAATTTGAAATGCAGATAAATCTTATTTATCGCATATCTCGCCAACCAATTGCCGTGTTCCATATGTGCGACAAATTCAGTTTGTTTGCACAACAATATACGGACAGCAAATACCGGAACGCGCAAAAAATTGCATTTTTTCGTTGTAAGAGGGTAGCTTCATAAGTTACACAGATAGACATGCAGTGTAAAAACTCCAGCTGAAACTTAAATATTTGGATTCATGCATTGAGTTGAAAATATTTGATTTTAAGCAAGAAGTTTTATATTAGAAAACCTTCAACTGCAAACGCTCTTCAGACGCTGGTGAAACTCTAAAGGCCACCCTCTATTACTTAGTGCATGTCCTTTTGGAATGCTCTCACTGGTTTCTTTTATAATGCATTTTTAAATTGAATTTGCACCACCTGCTGCTGCAGTGCTGCAGTTGCGGATCTCTCGCCTACGATGGACAACAGGTGGCGCCACATATGCATTGCGCGGCCCGTTGGGCTTATCTCGGGCCGTGAGTGCCATTTGCGAGTCCATAATGTAATTAACAGAATAAATTCCATTTATAGATAAATAACACGCCACAAAATAGCACAAAACTGTTGCCGCGCTTTATCAATTTTATTTGGCCATGGTAGGGTTTTGAATTCGCAGAATACAATGCTTCATAACTAGAGCTTTGATCATGCTAACGTTATCAGCATTTCCGATATGTATGTATGTATGTGTAGATATACTGGCAAAGGGGCGCTGGTGTTTTTGCGGCTGATTTATTTGATTTCAATAATCAAATCACCAATTGCTTGTCTATCAATAAAGCCATTGCGCAATTTTATTCTAATTAAATGCTAATTATGTTTGTCATAGCCAGCGCAAATATTTGAAAGGGTGCGAAATAGAACAAAGCACTTAAATTTGTGATGAGTCAATTTTAGCTGAAATTTTGTTAATTGAAATTGTGACTAACAGAACTACAATATAATATGTATACAACGGTCTACAGGAAGTGATTGGCAATCTAAATGCAAATCGCAGCACTGCAACATCGACTTTTATGACCCCAAAAACTCGCTGACTGCGTAGAAATCCGAGATGAACATGCTCGATAGGAGATAGATAAAGTGAGAGAGAAAATTAAAGAGCCTAGCATATATTCAAAGCATATTTGAAAAAAAAAAAAATAAATAAATAAATAAAAACAAAAGATTACTATTTTGCRAATATTAAAGTCTAAAATTGTTAAAAAGATATTCATATTTAAAACAAAAGAAGAAACAAGAAGTCAAGCTATGCTCTGCACTTTGTAGTTGTCTGCATTTGCATTTGTATTTAAGATGCTTGTTTTAATATTTTTTGTTGCAGCATGGCGTACAGTAATAAACGCTTGCCTTTCGGCTATGAACAGAGGATGTGCGGACGTGGGCGTTCGTGTTTGCATACACTTGGCCTTTACGAGTGGCACGTGGTTTGTTATTATCTTGGCTGTTGGTGGAACGGTCTAGGTCTTGGAGCTGTTGCTCTCCAAGCTGGCCTCGCGACTCAAGTGCGGCGAGCGCCTAAAAGATGCAGATTTCTGATTTTATTTTTGTTTCCTCCAACGTCATCGCAGGCTTTGCAATTCCAGTGTATTCTATAATTACCATAAATATACATTTACGGGTTGATTTAAAATGGAAAATCATTATTTGCATAGAACAGCAGTTGAAATTAGTTATGTGCAAATATGGGCCTCAAACAATGCTAAAGCAAATATGCATTTTGTGTACATTTTTGGCAAATGTAAAGTTGGCTTAAAGTCACTTTAGAACTTCGCATACAAACAGGCCAAGTTGCAAAAATTAATTTCGAAAACAAATGAATATATTTTCGCATATGCATATGAAGGGCAGGCCAAATGGTTCTTGTTTAATGTTTTATTCACATATGCAAACAAAATTTCCGTTCAATTCAATTGCGCGCCGCGACCTAAAAGTATTTTCCGTTATTCAGTTTTTTCCTTCTTCTGCAACAAAGTGGCGCCCACATAAAAACGGACCAACATCAACTCACGCACACACACACACACACRCCATATTGACTCACACCCACACTCACACATATGCGCGCCTCACACAGTGAACAACACAGACACTGTTGAATTTCTATTCGACCAATTGTTGATATGCACGAGCAAATAAAAGCAGCAGGCCGGAGCCGAACGACACACGAGGAGCTTCGTGCCTCGTGTTTGTCGTTTCCTGTTCGTTGTGTGCGTGTATCCAACGAAGCGCATTCAGCTCGGTGAGTGTGTGCGTGTGTGTGTGTAGTTGTCGTTGGGCTTGTGTTCTTCGCTAGCAGCCAGCGTTGAGCATTTATAAAGTCCATTGCCGCTTTGATCTGTCGCTCAGTTGTTGCATACTTCTCGGGGTGTTCATTCGACGTGCAGCATAAAGAAAAGAGACAATTTATAAAACAATTCGAAAAGCTCACAGGGAGCTGCTGCTGGGCAAACTACTGAAACTTTAAATTTTTACAACTGTAAGTGCACAGAAATAGTAATATTAATTAAATAAAAAGTTAAATGTATTAGAACATATTTGTGGAAACATCAAGTCCGACTTTAAAATGTGTTGTTATAACATATAGTTATTGACTTCCAACCAATTATACTTACCCTGGCATGGCTTTGTATCAAAATCGGGTTTGCTTGAGTGAGCAATACAGTAAAATATCTTAAAAAGGAAACATTCACTTGACCATATCGGTTCTGATTTCCAATCAAATATTTAGTGTTCAGCTTGTGTGACTGATGAAGTTACGAAAGCGCATTAAGGCTCTCTTATAAGTGTTAACAAAATGAAGTCAAAGTTGAAAAGTTGTTTCAGCTGCAGACATAAACCAATTGTGTAGTTCGATTGGGCTCTGGCTCTGCGCCAGAAAATGAATTTGCTCTGCACGATTGATTCTAAGTTGCTTAAGTATTTGATTTTGACTTCATCTGCAGAATTTTATATAACCATTTTAGTTAAGCTAATACTTTTAATCGACTTAATTAGGTGTTTCGTTGAATTATATTTTTAATATAATATGAAATTTATTTGCTTGTGAATAATTATTATTGAGATCATGGTAAAATTAAAATTATCTCAGTATTGTTGTTTAGCTATGAGCTAGAATTATTTGGTTATTATATTATACAATTTAATATAAGTAAATTTCAAAATATCCTTATATGTTTAGCACTGTTCCATTTACGTCCACCTTAATAAAGATTTAATAGAGCAATTAAAGTCATTTAATGGACTTTCCTAAGGCTGCATTATTATATATTAATTCGAAAAGCATACAAGTTTTCTTTAAGATCTTTTCAAGAGCAAATCATTCATTTGAATCGATTGAACCTACAATTATTAAATTATTTCTTAGAAATGGTTTGCTTAAACATTTCTAAAATACACCTTAACAAGCTTAACCTTTCATATGACAACTTGGCCGGCGGCTAATCAGCCGTCGGCAAAAGCCAATAAAAATACTACTTCAATGAGAAGATGTGTGTTTTAATACGCCTCGGTGATTCGGAGCTAGCCAAAGCCACTCGCATCCGGTGTTGACGCATGCTGCACGCAACGCGTGGCCCATTTGGAGGCAACAAGCTAAAAATTCTGTAAAAACTAAAAAACGACCAACATGGGGCGGCGCTTTAAAACTGCCTCTGGGTCTTAACTTGTTTTATGTCAACTTGGACAGTCGCAATTAGTACATAAATACGTACATATGTATGCAGCCGGTAACAAGGAAATGTATGTGCACAGCTCCCTTACACACACCTGTCCAGGCTGTGTACACATGCTCAGGTACTCGAGCTGCAGCTGTGCCTGAAAGATGCTTTAAAAAAGCGTATGCCTAACCGTTAGTGAAAGGGTATATGTGTGTGTGTGAGAGTGTGACTGTGTGCGGGCATGTGTGTGTATGTGGACCGAGCTAAGCGCGTTCTAATTAACCTGAACATTAAGTACGACAATTATTTTAGCTACAGGGCTCATTATAACAACAAGATGGTCAAGTTGGGAGCCGTTTGTAGCCAGCTTTTACACTATTAAAAAGTAATAATTATTTTATTTTATAAATTTGTTTAGTGAAAATATCTACTGTGTATATCTAATTATATAGTGAATATAATATATTAAATTTAACTTTTATTAAGCCATACGAGGCACTCCAGTAACCCCTTTATGAGCTTGTTAATCTGTTACTTCCGTCCATTTGGGGTACCGGCTAACTAGCGTTAGCTGACAGTATTGACAAATATTGATGTATCAGAAATAGATTTTTATTTAGATTTGAGCTTTGTTATTTAATAATGCTATTTACTTTTTAGTATTAAGTGTTAAATCCGTGCCATTCAAATTTTGTATCTTAACAGTATTTATTTTATTCTTCTTTTATTATAAAATCTTATCTCTGATCTTCATTAATTATTATCAATTAAGCATTTGAATAAATTTAACTACTTTCACAACAGTTACCCAAGACATTTAAATAGTTAAAAAATTCTATAATCTATAAAAATTCCGATTAACTTTCTGGAATAAGTTTTTTTAGGCATATCGAAAATAGCGCTGTTTTCAAGCTAATTCAAACATATAATCTAACCTCCTTTATATGTATATTCATTTTGTTCAATAAATGCGTTCCAGACATTTTATACTGCCCTAACTAGAGGGAAAAGTTAAAGGACTCACAAAAATAACTCGCTTCATTAGGCCTTTCATTTCATATATTAATTCTAAGGCTTTGGGATAATTTTGAGAAAAGCAAATTTCCATTTCTTATATATCTTTGAGCGCTGAAGCCAGCGAGACATGACGTAAATTTGAACTTTTACTGATGACAGTTTAGCAGCTTCTGTGCTGTTGGGGACTTCAATCATTTGGGATTAATTTGGAAAGGTGACATACATACAAAGGTCACATGCGTGCTTCCCTTAACTGTTTTTGTTGTGTTGATGATGCTTCGGTAATGACTCTTTTAGCGGCAGGCTTACAAAAGGATAAAGGAGCGAGCCATTACCAGATTTTAATGCCTTACAAAACAAAACTTAATTTAAAACGATTTACATGATATACGGTGTTGTAGTAGTAGTGCCTAAGCTAATTCGACCTTCTGCTGTTCAGGATGGGCGTATCTCGGAACTGCACTTCCATAACGGTCGGTGCCTGTTGGTATTCCACTAGGATCAAACGGTTGCTGCCCACCCTCAGCACCGGGGCTGGCACATATAGGGTTATCTGTGGGCCCACCAGGGGCCAATAGCGACCCAGATTTTCGCCGTTCACGAAGACAATACCTTTGCCCCAGCCGGACATGTCTAGGTATGTGTCCGCCAGATCGTCGGCGCTGTTGATGGTCAATGTACCGTAATAGATAGCCGGACCGTTGCGTAGAATCGTTTTCAGTTGCTTGATCTCTTTGAAGCCAGCTTGCGCCGCTGCGGTGGACTGGACAACGAGCGTCTCCAAGTCTTCGTAGGACTCCAGCGGATACTTGGTCATATTCCAGTTGATTAGGATCTGTTTGTCCAGGCGCACGTCCTTGGTTAGGCCCTTGAAATCGTTCAGCTGTCTACCGAAGTTGAGCCGTCCCTGATTCTCAACCAGAATCTGTAATTTTCTGCCCATGCTGGGACTAAGTGGCAGATCGAAGATAGGTGCTTCCCGTGCCAGTATTCCGACAAATTCATTGTCCACATAGACGTAGCCCCGATCCGCCAAGCCACGAGCGTGCAGAATACTCGGATCCCGCTTAAACTGCGACGGCAACCAGCTCTCATACAGCACCAGGCCGGAGTATTGGTTCAGGGCCTCAAAGGTTTTCGGCTTCGCCGACCGCACAACGCCCGTGCTCAGCTTCTCCCGACCCTCGTCGGAGAACAGCGTGCAGCAACTGAGCAGCCGGACCGTCCCGTACGCCCGCTTCGGCACCGGCGTTGGCACTGGCGTATCCGGCAGCGGCAAGTACCTGCCAATAATTTGACGTAAGGCCATGTACTTGGGCGTGGGGTCGCCAGCCTCCGTCATCGGCGCATCGTAGTCATAGCTGGTGATGTCGGCTATGTAGTTACCCGGTCCATTGTCGTTGGCGCCTGCCGTGAATCCAAAGTTGGTTCCACCATAAAACATGTAGAAATTGACGCTGGCTCCGCTATCAAGCATGTCTCTGGAAAGTAAAGAGAAGCCAGAGAATGTTAATTCCTAAACATGCGAACCGTATTTCATTGTAGTGAATTCCCTTATATAGTAAAATGTCTTTATGTATAATTTTTGGGGCTAGTTAAAAACTTTCGTTCCATCAAATAAGTTTGCTCTTTTATGGACTGCTCGATTGCCCATTTAAATTAATTAGCTCCTTTTGGATACGATTCAAGCTCAGTGTAAATATTTCCAAAAATTTCGAACTTGGCGTAATCAATTATTTGAATTTTACCAAAGTTAGTTTTTATACCCATTCACGAGTTAATCTCTGTCCAAATTTGATATCCTTCAAAATTAATTTTATGTTCTGATGCTCATTCCTAAATTGTGATTTTAAGCGAAGTCCAATACTAATTTGCTTAAAGGTTTGGTTTGATTCCTTCATTAACAATAAACCTTATCTAATGCTCGGTTCAATATACAGAATGACTTCATTGCATGAAGAGAATAGCTCTATATGATATTCTGTTTCCTTAATATTAGACACTTACATGAAAGTTCCAGTGATTGCTGAGGTGCTCACATTGGCCATTGGTTCCGTCCAGTGGGTCAGCCAGCCGGGATAGTACTCGGCATTTACTAGCGGACCCTTGGGCTGGTACTGTCGCAGCTTGGCCCAGACGTCTTTCAGGTTCGACGTGGCTCCAAAGTCCATTGTGGCCAAAACTCCCTGTATTTTTCCACAGCGAAGAACCCCGGGTCCGTCATTGGTGAATAGCACGGCGCTGTCTTTAACGTGGTTCTGTGTCTCATCTCGCAGCCAGTTGCGATAGTTGGCATCGCAGGCAAAGTACGAGCCGTACTCGTTCTCCACCTGCACCATGATAATGGGTCCGCCGTTGCCGTACAGATAGGGGCCTATGCGTGCCATTAGCTGACTGTACCATATGCGCACCTCGCTCAAGTAATCTGCAAAATTGAAGTGTGTGTGCTTAGTTCCATTGAGTTGAGTCGAGTCTTGCCGAGGCACATACTGATGTCAGCTGTGCGAAGCTGAATGCCAGGGAACTTGTTGAGCAGCCAGTAGGGAAAGCCGCCCATGTCGCGCTCGGCACAGATGTAGGGTCCGGGGCGAAGTATCACCAGCAGATCCTCGTCCACAGCCAGACGTATAAAGCGCTCCAGATCCGCAATGCCCGTCCAGACGTAGACGCCATCGCGCGGATTGTGCAACGACCATTCCACGTAACTTCACACAACAGAAATACGATTACTTGAAATCAGAGCCAATAGAGCAATAAACCTACGTAGTAACCGCATTCAGACCCGCCGCACGCATAGTTCTCAAGTGGCGTGACCAGGTGTCGGGGTGGGCTCGAAAGTAGTGAAAGGATCCAGCAATGAAACGAAATGGTCGCCCATCCTTCAGAAATCTATCATTTTCATAGTCCACAGTAAACGAGCGACTGCCGCTGCCCAGATCAGCGATGAAAACCAATGACAGCAACGTCAAGCAGCCATAGGAGAAATTCATTATTGCTACGCAACGGCTGCAAAAGAACAGTAGGAAAATTATGAAATGCTTTCGATGTTAAAGTACTTCTATTTAATTACAATTAATATACTCTAATTAATACAGTAGAATCAGAATATGGCGACTACACTTAAAGCTTCATTTATTACGACGAAAATGTTGTCTTCAGGGCAAATTATACGGTTATAGCGTCAACCGGGTATAACAACGGTCCCTTGAGCGCCGTTATAATCGGATTCTATCATATGTTTGTATTTAATATTCCTAAATTAGTGCAGAATTCTTCATTTTTCGAACAGGAGGTGACTTATCATATCACGAAATAAAAGATTTACTCAAAAATACTGCTTTTGGATCGTTTTGGATGAATGAGTACTATGTAGTCTGTCCGAATAAAATATTCTCATTTGTCTTTATATGACATTAATTTTTATCATTAATATCCGATTAAATCTTTCCCTATGGTTTCAATTGTCTAATGATATTATTATATTTTTATAATATAGACCACATTTATAGTTTAACAAAATAGTGATAGAGTTTTCTGTAATAGAAATTGAATTATCAGTGGAAATCATTTATGAGAGTGTATCTATATTCAGCTCTAGCATAAAATCGAATTTCTCCCAAAACTCTCAAGCTTTATATAAATTGAAAAATTCATTGTTTTTATTATTCTTATCCCTTGATAACGATTTGAATCACAAGATACACAGATATTTATCAGTATTGCGATTGTTGATAATATGATAATGTCTGTCATTTATTATTGTTAATAAAAAGTTTGTTTCCCATTGCACAGCCAAATTTGTCATTCTATTATTAATCTTGTATTTTTTTTATAGATTCAAATGAATAGTCAGACTCAAGTGAATAATTAGATTCAAATTAATAATTATTAATTAACAATTCGCTAAGTGTTAAACTAATAGAACTCTAAAATATGGACTGCATAGACGATGTCCAATTGTTGACTTTCGATTTTCATTAATTTATAATACATACATACTGTAATTTATAATGTAGACATATAGTTAAAATTTCAAAAATTTTCATATATTTGAATATGATTTTATTTGGTAATAACTAAGAAAATTGATGCCTCTTTGGATTATTTTTAAATTGTAAACAAACTTTATTTCATAAAATTATAAACAAATTCGGATGTTAACCTTTCTAATGATAGCTAAATTTCATAATTAAGCGTAAGCTTATAAATATTTAATTAAATATTTGTTTTCGCAGAGCTGAGCATATGATTGACCCATTTTACTTTGATTTAACGTTGATTTTGATCAAATTTGCGATTTTACATACAAGTTTTTTGAAAGTGAAAATAATGCTAAAGTTGTATTATAAAGCACTGAAATCTACATCTAAATTGCCTTTTGAAATGTCAGTGAATCTCAGTTCAGTCCAACTACCCGATCAGTGCACAATAGCGGGTAAATGACTTCCTTATCGAGACACTTGTCCCAAGAATTTTCAGCTGTTTCGCAAACTCTAGCGTACAACTTCATCTATACAGACATATATGTATGTATATCTAGATATAATAGGTACAATCAATGCACGCCCCTTGCTTCGACTTGTAACTGTGCTTCTTCTTTCTAAGCGAGAAGATGAAAGTTCGGGTGTTAATTGTTTAAATTTCCAGAGCACAAACGAAATATTTCATAATTATATAAATGAGTCCAACAAAACACCTTTCTACACGCGAATGTGGGTTTTTAGTCATTCATTAAATGACAAATATTGTTGTTGGGCAATATTCAGTATGTGTATGATTTCAATTGAGAATTTACATAAATGAAATGTATATTTATATATACATATACAAAGGATAAAATTACCAGAATATTAAGAATTTGAAATAAATATTCATATAGACTACTATTAAAAAAATATTTATTACATTAGCTTAAGTTTCTCTTATTAACTTGAATGTGAATTTATTGCTGAGTCAACTGATTTATATGTAAAGTGTCTTACAGGGAATAGTTTTGTAGTTTTTATAGTGCTCTACATTCATTCATTCAATCAGCTCTGYAATATTTAACGAACGCATCGTGTACACAATACAATTAGTGTTACAGGAAGGGAATGTCACTTCCCTCTATGTAAATTTCTCTTATCTTCATATCCGAGTCCATGGCTATCGTCTTTACGGAACTAAGTCACACATATATACACTGCCTAATCGGGGAAATCTTTTGCTGCCGCAAATCTCTCAGCTGGGCTGAGATTATTGCCTTAATTCAAGTTCATGGTTCAATTATTTAGCTGACGTCTCTTTGCTCGCTGTCTCACTGGCTCATTGACTGAGTGACTGAGTGACTGACTGACTGGCTGGTCGACTGATTGACAATCTCTGTTTGCTCTGCTGACTTGATACAGCGCCTCGCTTGACACATTAATTATAAATTTATGCCACTTCTGTTTGGCCAAGAACAATAACTTTGCCCGAACTGTTTCGTTTTCATCATCAGCATTAATTTGATGCGCACTCACATTTCCCGATTTCACATTTATTTCAATGTTTATTTATTTATTTGYTTTGGCCCAAGCCATGGACCTCATTAAGGCACTGCGACAGCTGTTCGGAGCCTATACTGAAATATTTCCCCAACCTATGGGAACTCGGCTTTCCCTGTCGATTTCCAGACCAGCAGCGCTTATCGCTCTCCGACTCTCATATGCGTGTGTATTTGCTATGTACGTGTGTTTACCACCTCACACATCCCATTTCTGTTTATGGCTCACTGATAAGTGGCCAATGTTTGAATTCAATTTTTTCTTAGCCTTCGACATTTGTGAGTAAAAAACAGTGAAGATATTTTGATAATGATTTAGTACAACAGTTGTATTATTTTGTATTATACTTTCTAATTTAGATTATTTTCTTGAGTAGAAAAAAGCAAAGGCAAGTAAAATAATATTA